AAATTGTAATTCCTAATACTCAAATTTGTCCTTCCCTCCCCTCCCTTCTCTCTCTCCCTCCCTCTCTCTTTCATTCTCTCCCTTGCTGTCTCTTGCTCTCTTTCTCTCCCTCCTCTCCTCTCCTCTCCTCTCTTCTCCTCTCCTCTCCCCTCCCCTCCCCTTCCCTCCCCCCCCTCTCTCTCTCTCTCTCTCTCTCTCTTTCTCTCTCTCTCTCTCTCCACCCTTACACAGCCCTTGAGAGCAGGGATTATTTTTTGCCTTTCTCTGTATTCCTCTTAGCACAGTTCCTGGCACAAAGCAGTATCTTAATAAATGTTTGCTGACTGTTGCTTCTGGGATAAAATGCAGAATTCTCAGCCCAGTATTTAAAGCCCTCTACAATCTGGCTCCCACCCATCTTTCCATGAATAAATGAATGAATCCAATCTTTCCAATCTTACTTCTAATTACTCCCCTTTATGCACGCTATATTCCAACCAAACTGGCCTACCTACTAGTTGCTCTGCAAGTTCACAGCAGTCCCCATATCTCTGCCCAACTGGTCCCCAAGAACTGGTATAGATTTCATCCTTACCCAAAGAGCTCTTCAAGGTGCCAGCTCCTACATAAGGCCTTTCTTGATCTCTCTAGCTTGTCAGTGCTCTGCCTCCTGAAATTACCTTATATTTACTCTGTATATGCTATTTCTTTAATTATCTGGGCTCAGTTTAACTGAGGGTCTTGTGATTGAAACAGAAAATCTAACTTGTGGGGATAAGTGTCCAGACTATCTGAGAAACTGGCTATATATCTTAGAATATATGGAGTTGTGGGTAGAGGTATCCAAAAAGAGACTGGAAGTCACTAGCAGTGATTTAGTGTGGCTAGACCTCTTCCTTCTCTAGGAGATTGTTCTGGAAGCTGGTGATGGGAAGTGGTGATGTGGGGGATGGTACGAGGGAGGACTTTCCCTTTTTTCTGTCAACATCGAGAAATGTCTATAGAGAAATGTCTATAGAGAAAAATAGAAGAGGAGGGTCTGAAAAGGGGAAGGTGAGGGTAGGGACCAGTCAGTCAGATACTGATTTTGTGGCAGAAAAAGGGGGCTGATTCCTACAAAGAGATATAATTTGGTAGAATCATACTTGGGGTAGAGGTAGCAGTATCCCCAGGGAGTCTGTGCCTGGGACCATGAGAATTGAGAAGGGGCACTACATCATTGGAGCCAGCACTTAAGGACATATATGCTTTCAGTGAACTGGGCATCTAGTTGAAAGGTCAGTGGTGTGTAATTCACTGAAGAGGGTGAGGAAAGGGCATGGAATGGGATGCTTTGGAAGAGCAAAAAGACCAGCAAGAAAATAGCACTGTGAAAGATGAGAAGACCACTACCAAACCCTTCTGGGAAAAGGAGAACTGGGAGTTTGAAAGGACTTTTAAGTTCCAGTTGCAACATGACCAAGGGAGAAATCCCCTAGCAAGTGTGAATAGGGTTTGGTGACAAAGTAGCAGCAGTGGTTTTTGTTCTTCCCCCCCCCTCCCCCTGTGGTGTAGCTTCCCATCTGTAGAAAGAATGAGAGAGGGGCATGGTCCCTAGGGGAAGAGAAATTGAAGTTTTAATTAAGTTGAGGAAAAAAGCAGAACTCAATTCGATGAACACATTACTTGCCTATTATGTGCAAGGCGAAGTATTGGGTGCTAAGGATGCAAAGATTTAAAAAAAAAAGCAGTTTCTATGTTCAAAGTACAGATTCACCTTGGGGAACCCTCAGTTAAACTTTTCCCTTCTGTACGCAGACTGAGAGCAGTGTTCAACTTTTGTATATCTCCTTCAGGTTTCCTTGCCCACACATTGACCCATGATCCTCATGTAATAGCTAGCTAGAAGGAGAAGCAAAAAGATTCTGATTTCCTCATTGAAGTTGAGGTATGAGAAGAAGAGAAGAGATTTAGGGAACTTCAATCATCTTCAAGTCACTGGCAGAAGTGCAAACTTATCCCTCAATTTCCTCCCTCCAAAGCCCCATTCTATATCTTTCCATACTTTTGCCACTGTCCAAAAAATAAAAATAAAAATTTAAAGGACCAAAAATGGAAGATTACTAAGCACTCTGAATGAATAAATAGAAACTTCTCCTATGAGCACAGTACTGAACTAACTACAAAGACCAAGTGACCCAGAATCACCCTGTGATTCTGCTCAGTACCTGGGTAGAAACTCATAGACAGATGCCTTGAACAAAGGCTCTTATGGAAATACGTGTTGCTTCCAGGAAGTCAAATTCCAGAACAGCAATTTAGCCAGACACAGGTTCAGCTGTCCACTAGTGTGCCTCTGAGTACATGAGGTACAGATAAGAACTGAAGAGGACAGCTCACTCACTCTTCAGGCTGGTCAGGATGCTGAAGGGCCTTTATCTCCTAGACCGTTCACCCCCAGAAGCCACTAGATCACCATGTGGAACTTCTTTTGCTCCAGAGTCTCGCTACCCCAAGTAGCCCCTGCCTCCAGGCAAACCCTCTTCACAACCTCCTTCTTTCTCACAAGCTTCCTGCCAATCATTTACACACATTTTTCGATGTCATCACCTACCCTCCTCCCTGAAATGACCTCACCACAATTTCCCACATGAGGAAAATGAAAGTCTGAAAGGGGACAGAGCTGGCTCCCTTGGACAGTCATTGGCAGATGGAAAAGTCTCTCCCCAACCACCCCCTTCCAATAATTTAGCAGCCTTCTGAGTGCCCATAGCCACCCCACTGAACAGACAGGAAAGTCATGGTATACAGAGAGGGGTGACATCTGTCGTGGCTATACAAGCCATTTCCAGGGCAGGGAATTTGTTCAACATTCCCTTGTCTACCTAGTTCTCTTCAGTCCACTATCAGAAGCCCAGGGTTGAGTAGAAAGATGTTCCAGAGAAAACACACACACACACACACACACACACACACACACACACACACACAAAACACATAACACACAAAGTTCCCCTGTGTGAGACAATATGCCAGCTCTTTCCATGGGGTCATTAGCTCAGGTGTCACAATTAAGCAAACTCTCTGATAGGTTTGCCTTCAAGGGACTGAGCTGAAACACAAAATCTAGAAGGCAATCCAATGGTAATTTTGCCATTCCCCTTGCCTCCGAGTAGCCATATCTTAACCATCCCTGACAGCCTAGGCGCTAATATTTACACAACTTCCTTTGAGTATTCACCTTCAACCTTTCACAATCCACCAGCTAAATGGCCAGTAAGTTCCTCTAGTCTCATCTCCATATTTCCAGCTGCTAGCCTTATACACTCATACAATCCTGCCCAGCAAAAGGCAGAACCCTCCCCACCCCTACTCTATTCTCTGCTAGAAAGGCAAAGGGACCTGGGTTCTTCCAGAAGTACCTTCATCTTGGACCTGTTGCCCAGACAAAACAAAAACAGGCCAGGATTTCCCTTAGGAAAACCCCATGGCAACATGGTAGACCAAATATTGGTCTGCTCCTTCCATGAGGGGAGAAGACCAAGATGACTACTTAAGTGGGTGAAATAACTCCCCAGCCTCCTGACAAACTCCATCCTGGGAAGAAAGCATATCGTTTGTCTGGAAAGGAGAGGAACTGGCCACCCAATCTGGTGTGCATTGCCCCTATCTCCAGGGAAAGCAGCTAGGCAATGAACCTCACACACTGTTCATTCAAGCACCACGATTCTGCTTTTGTTGGCTCCCGGAGCTTGAAGAGCCAAAGCAGGTAGCAGCCAATGAATTTCAGTGGCTCAGCTAGACACCAACATCTCAGAGAGGGCCCTGGATTCGAATTCCATATCGGTTACTTCTCATCCTGAACCTGAGGACCCACGTTTTTTCCAGGATCTTACCTTACTTTCTCTCTTGAAACATCACTCAGGAAACTCTCCCCGTCTCCAGAAAAAGAAAAGAACCCTCACATTCCTTTACACCTCCTTCCATTTGGGGTACTTGTTTCCTGTGGCTTTTTTTTTAATAAAAAGGAAAAGAAATGGGGAGAATGTTGGGAGGTAGGGGAGAGTTTTTAAAACAACAATGCAGAAGAGAGAAAAATGAGAAGGGGGGGGGGACCCTGAATAAAAGCAAATCACCAAAGAGCTGGAGCAGAAAGACAGAAAGATGAATGAGAGGCTGATGAGACAGGAGAGAGAGAGAGAGAGAGAGAGAGAGAGGAGAGAGAGAGAGAGAGAGAGAGAGCGAGCATGGAGGAGGCAGAAGCTCTGAACTTTCCCTTCTCAGGCAGAGGAGAGATTTGCCTCCCTGGGGAGAGGGTGGGGGGAAGGGGCTCAACTGACCTATAGCAGGGGAGAGAGGAAGCCTTCCCTCTCCTCCCTTATGGGGGAGACTCAGTCCCCAACGCGCGCCCCTCCTTTCTACAGGTCCTCCGAACCTGTGCCCCGACTCTGCACCCCGGCCTAAAGAAAGCAGGGAGGAGGGTGTGTGCGGGGCGCCCCTACAAAGCGGGGAGCGACCAGAAAAGAGCACAGGGAGAGGGGGGCGGGGAGAAGGCCCTGGCCCCATCGAGGCCTCTATTCCCTTCCCGGCGCTGCCCGCGCGCGACCACCCTCCCGCCCTTATGTCCGTCCACCCGGCCATGCAAACACACACACACTCACACACACACACACACACACACACACACACACACACACACACACACACACACACACACACACCCCTGGGTATTTGGGGCTGGAACCGGGCAACAGGGGATCGAGGCGAAAGGGCATGGGGCTGCTGGGAGGGGGCTGCCAGCACGCGGCTCCCAGCGTCGCGAGCTCCCGGGAACGTTCCACGGCCACAGGAACTGGCAGTCAATCCGCGACGCTACGTTCATCCCCGCACCGCCTCCACGTTCCATCCGCGCCCCACAGCTCCCAGGCTGGGGCAGGGCCCCACGTTGGGCACTGAAAGGGACGGGGGGGTGGCAGGACAGCGAAGGGGCCGAGACCGGGGAGGGGAAGAGGAAAGGAAAGAGGGGAGGAGGGGGCGCTTACCCAAGACAGGCGAGGGGCGCTCCTCCACTCTCCTTCCTGTCTCCTACATGGAGTGAGAGTCCCTCCTCTCGTGGCACTGGAAAGCCACGGGCGGGATGGGGTGGCGGTGCTGGGACGCGGCGCTGGGGAACGCGGTGCAATCCCGGGCTCCTGCTCCGGCTCTGGCTCCGACTGGGGCGGGAGAAGGAGGAGAATGCGAGGCGCCGGCAAGCTTCCTAGTGGCCCGCTGCGAGAAATGCAGCTGTCCCTGCCCTGCCGGCGGAGACCACAAGTGGAAGTGAGCGGGAGGAGCGGGGCGGGGGGCGGGGGGCGGGGGGGGGAAGGGTGAGAGAGCCAGCCAGGGCAAAGGGGATCCCCCGCCCCCAGGCTCTGCTCACCCTAGCCTCCCAGGGCCCTTCGGATAAGATAGAATTTCGGGGAATAACCCGAAGACCTCCACAACCAGAGAGGGAGGGGGCGCCTTCAGTGGGAGGGGGCACACAGCGAGTCTCTCCTCTTAGGTAACCCCACCTTTTTATCCCCCACCCCCCGCCCAGTTCTTTTTGGCCCGAGGTTGGGAGGATTAGGATCTAAGCCTCAACTGAGGATGCTGGGGGTTGGAATGGGAGGGAGCATAGAGCCAAGCATCATACCCCTCCCCCATTCCCTGGGAGGGAGGAGAACTGAGAAAGGAAAGGGAAATTGGAGGAAGAGGGACCAAGGCCCTAGAGAGTAGGAAGGAGCCAGCTGCAAGGCCTGAGGGGAGAATAAACTTGGGGTGTGTGTGCGTGTGTGTGTGTGTGTGTGTGTGTGTGTGTTTCACCCCCTCTCCCTACCCAACCCCCATGGATCTGTGACACTCACAGAACTGGGTGCTGACTCCCAGGAGTGCAGACTGCATCTGACCCATACTTTCTTATCCTGTATAATTCTGACAGTTTCCTCCCATAAATCTTCCATGAAATATGAGCTGAAGGCCTTTCTCAAGTTTTGGGTTTTGTTTTGTTTTTAAAATATTCTGGTATACCAGGTAGCAATGGGACACTCAAGACATATCTACTGTCCCTCACTCACCTTTTCATATTACATATTTCCTGAATAATAGGGAGGCTGAGAGGTACCCAAGAAAGAGGTCTTGAAGTCATGTGACCTGGGTTGGAATTCAGATTCTGCCACTTATTAGCTGGATGACTTTGGGCAAGTCTAGTCATCTCTCTGGGCCTCAGTTTCTTCATTTGTAAAATGAGGTTGTTGACTAGGTGATCTCTAAGGTCTCTTGCAGCCTGAATGATATATTTTACACTATTTCTTTTAGTAATTTTGATAATATTTGAGAAGCACCCTGACCTAGTAGAAAAGATGAAGGAATGTAGGTGATAGAGATATTAAATCACTGCACTTGTAGTGAGGAAGACCTGAGATCATTAGACCAAGGGGGCAGCGAGATGGCGCAGTGGATAGAGCACTGGCCCTGGATTCAGAAGGACCTGAGTTTAAATCCAGCCTCAGACACAAAACATTTACTAGCTGTGTGACCCTGGGCAAGTCACTTAACCCCATTACCTAGCCCCCCAAAAAAAATTTAGACTAAATGCTTACTAGACACTAGGGCAAGTCACCACCTCTATCAGCCTCAGTTTCCTCATCTGTAAAATGGAGATAATAATAGCTCCTACATCACAGGCTTGTTTTAGGTGTAGTGGGAGTGAGGGATTTGGGAACTTCTCTCCCCTCACATCAGCTAGTTGATGTAATTACAGAAAGTAAGGGGTAGACAACAGAGGTAATGAAGTATTAAATATGTTAAAGAAATACAAAGACACCCTGTCATCTCCTTGTGGTATGAAAAGTTTTCTGACTGAAAAAGCAGAACAAAAATTGGCGATGTTTGGGGCAGCCTTTCAAATACAAGCCTGCCATGTACCCCCAAGAAAATCAATGACAAAAAGAAAAGCTCCTTGGCCACCAAAATAGCAGCACTTTTTGCGGTAATAAAGAACTGGAAATAAAGTAGATGCCCATCGATTAGGGAAAGGCTAAACGAATTGAGCATGAGTGGAATGGAATATTACTGTGCTACATGAAATGATAAGCATGATGAATAGAGAGAAGCGTGGGGAAGCTTTATGTGAACCGATGCAAAAAAAACAAGCAGAACCAAGAAAAATATGCATAGTAACTATAACAATGTAAACTAAAAAAACACACAGTGTAACTATCATAACTTAAAGAGCAAAATTACAATGACCAAGCTTGACCCTCAAGAAGAGATATGAGATAACAAATCCCTCTACTTCTTTGCAGGGATAGAGGGGCCAAAGGTGTGGAATACTGCAAATATTAGACTTTTAAAAGTTAGTTTTGCAGAACTTTTTTTCTTTCTTCCTCTTTTTTAAATTCTTTATTATAAAGGATAGCTCTCTGGGAGGGGATGGAGGAAGGATGCAGCAGGAAATACAGGTGATATAAAAATAAAAGATTTATAATACACTTATAGGGGAAAAAAAGACAAGCCTGCCATCCCTACACAGCAATTTCCGCATTTGGGTCAGTGTGACCCCCTTGCACCTCTATCAGAAAACAGCAAGGAGGGAGGGGATTTTCACTTGTAGTGAAAGTCAGCCATGTAGGCTAGCTTTGGAGGTACTTTCTCAGTCGGAGACGCTGCAACCAGCAGGGAGCAATTCAGAGAATCAAGCAGTTCCTAACAAGAAGCATAAACGCTCTGGAGAGACACAGAGAAGTAGCATTCAAGGAATGAGACTTATGGCAGCTGAGAAGAGAGCTAAGCAGTTGAGAGTGGAGCTACAGAAAGAGGCAGAGCCAGGGAGTCTAACTGAGCAGCTCACTCAAATAAAGGTAGTGTAAAGGATAGAGCAGTGTGAGCTCCCCATGAGAAAAGAAAGGCTTTTTGCAGTCCAGGAAAAATTGCTTATCAAACAAATAATGAGCCCCTCAGTACTAGTGCCTTGTGTTCCCTCTATGTATGCCTCACTACTACACACTAAATTTATGCCCATTCTTCCCATGGGTACTATGTGTGTCTCTAGGAGAGTGCACCTAAGGTTTAAGGGCAAAACATTTCGAAGTTCTTATGGGTAGGTGCTGGGCTTGGACTCAGGATAACTTGAGTTCAAACCTGGCCTCAGACATTTACTAGCTGTGTGACCCTGGCCAAATCAGTTAAGCTCTGTCTTCCTCAATTTCTTCAAATTGTAAAATGGGGATAAAATAGCACCTACATCACACACTTCTTGCGAGGATCAATGAGAGAATATCAGTATAGCACACTGCTTGGCACATAGTAGGCACTTGTTAAGTGTTTATTCCCTTTACTCCACCTTCTATGACATCTTGGTTAATGCTTTTGCTTTGAACCAATGGTATCAACTGGCTGACCTATTACAGGTAAGTTCACTAGGAGGCAAGGGGCTTTTCAGTTATAGTTTTGGGAGGTCATGGCCTACAGAGCACTCCACAACACTGATTCTCAAGCTTTTTGACCTTAGGACCCCTTTACACTCTTAAAAAAATTATTGAGGACCCCCCTAAGAGTTTTTGTTTGTGTAGGATATATCTATTGGTATTTATTAGAAATTAAAATGTTTTAGTATTATTACAAAAATAGCTTTAACCTCACAGATACCCTGAAAGGGTCTTGGGGACCCCCAGAAGTTTCTGACCACACTTTGAGAACTGCTGCCCTAAAATCTTGGTATGAAAGTAGAGTCACCCTACACCAAGAAACCAACTCAACCCACTTGGAGTGCTCATTTGGGGAGAACAGCCCAGAGATGGTGCTACATAGAGATCAAATGAGATAATATATACAAAGTATTTTATAAAACACAAAGCATTATATAAATGGTATCCATAATTATTATTAAAGTATGTTTGACTTGGAGGCAGAAGAATTTCTGGCTAAACATCCTGATACTTATCAGCTTTGTGACCCTACACAATCAATCAACAAGCAATTATTAAGTGGCTACTATGTGCCAGGTCCTGGGAATACAAAAGTGAAAATGAAACAGCTCCTGCCCTTACTTAATCTCTCTCAGCCTCAGTTTCTTCATCTGTAAAACTGGGATAATAGCACCCTCATCCTTACTTCACTGGATTGCTGTGAGGATCAAAATATTACATATGAGGAGGCAGCTAAAGTAGTGCAATGGATAGAGCTCTGACCTTGGAGTCAGGAGGACATGAGTTCAAATCCAGACACATGACACTTACTAGCTGTGTGACCCTGGGCAAGTCACTTAACCCTGATTACCTCATCAAAAAAGGAAAATATATATATATATATATATATATATATACATATATATATATGCAAAACAGAGCAAACCTTAAAACCCTATATAAATGTTTGGTTTGGACCTGTGATTTTAATGGTGTTTCATCCCAGTGAGAAAACCCTCTACCAATGCAGGTGCACAACTTATAGCTTTAAGGGTTGCCTGAGACACTGAGAGGTTAAGTGATTTGAAGACTATGAGGACTTATCAGAAGCAAGATTTGGATATAAGTCTTCCTGACTTCAAGGCTAGAATTCAATTCACTCTTCCAGACTGACTTTACCTTTAAATATTTTGAGGTCATTTTCTTGTTTTGTTTTGTTTATTGGATCTGTGATTTCTTTGGTGTAAGGAACTCCCAATGGGGAAAAAGAAAAGCAAGGAAAATAAAGAAAGAAAATAAAAATGTGCTTCAGTCTTCACTCTGAAACCATCTGTCCTTTACCTGGAGGTGGTTAGCATTTTATATCATGAGTCCCTTGGAATTGTGGTGGGTCATGGTATTGATCAGAGTCTTTCCTGGTTGATTATCTTTACAATATTGCTGTTACTGTGTAGATTGTCCTCCTGGTTCTGCTTACTTCACTTTGCATCAGTTCATATAGGTCTTCCTAGATTTTTGTGAAACTATTCCCTTCATCTTTTCTTTTTTTTCTTTTTTTTGCATCAAATTTGTTTTATTCTTTACAGTTTCTCAATCATCTTGATTCAGTCATTAGTGCTGCTTCCTTCTGAAGGAGCATCCTTCTGTAAGTCTTGCCTTTCCTCCAGTAGGCTGACAGAGCACAGTGGAGCATCCCACACAGAGAACCACTGTTTGTGCATGGCTGAAGAGAGAGGTGATTTTATAGCACTCCCGGCCCTTTATGTCCATGAAATATGAGTTCGGACTCTGCACCAGGTGCTTCTTCTTGTGTTTCCACTTCTCCTCCTCAGGAGAGGGGTGCAGGAGGTCTTTGGTGAGAGGCATGGTGGCATGGGGAGATCTTCACCACTGGAAACCCTTTCGTCTTTTCTTACAGCATTCCCCAATTGATAGGTATCCCCTCAGTTTCCAATTCTTTGCTACCACAAAAAGAGCTGCTATAAATATTGTTGCACATATAGGTCTTTTTCCATTTCCTTTTATTTCCTTGGGGTGTAGACCTAGTAATAGTTACCAGTGTAGTCTTAAATTCCTCCATAAACTCGAGGTATACTCTCCCACAGATATGCATGGTGCCCATGGGAAAAGTGGGTACAGAGTATGAAGAGTACAATAGTAGTGACTCACACATATAGAAAACATATACGGTCAAGACAACTCATGTCTCCAGGACCGAATGCCCTCCCCTCACACTTTTTTTTCTCATGGAGAGCTCACTGTGCTGTCCCCTGGGCCTGGCATCTTTGGGTGGTTTGGTTGCTCAGCTGGGCTCCCTGGTCTGCCCCTCTTTGTAGTTCAACTCCACTGTCATGGCTAATTCTCTCTTGAAATGATTCTCTGCAGCTCAAGATCTTTAAGACTTTCTTGGGACACTATGGGCTTAAGTGACTTACCTTGGGTACCAAGTAAATAGATGTCAAAAGTTGTATTTTGAACCCAGGTCTGGCTAAGTTAGAGCTCTAT